AAGAAGTTGGCGCTTGGGGCAGCGGTGGCGTTGGGACTGCTAGCGATGGCTCCGGGCTTGGGCACTGCGGTTCGTGCTGCGTCAGTGTGTGGCCTTGCGGCCTTGACAGCATTTGTACATAGAAATTGTCCGAAGACGGCAGAATGCCTGTCAACCAAGAGGTCTAACGTATCCCAATCAAAAGAAACAACAAGATGGTCGAGGGAAGATGAACCCGGCCCTAACACAAGATGGTCGAGGGAAAATGAACCCGGCCCTACCGGAAGCGGGAATAGCATGAACCATGAAAACAGGTCATCCCCGCACATCGTTCGCTCGACTTCGATCGACCCTTGCCGCACCGGCACCCTCTCGGCCGCGAAGAGCTTAAGCTCGCTTCGAAGCCATGGCAAGATGCGCTTGTGCGCCATGAAGGCGCCTCCACCGAAAGCTCCACCCAAACATGGGCTTAGGAACTGATGAGCCTTGGGAGCTGGCAGGATTCATGACACCACCCACCGGAAACGACCGTTGGGAGTGCCTGGGATGTGGCTCCGCCAGCGGCGAATGGTGGAGGGTTTTGAAGAAGCCCAGGGTGCGCCAATTTCACCCGCTTCAGAGGGGGACTCCGATGGCCATTGGACGTCTCTCACCGACCCGAATCACTGTGGCCTTCAGCCGGGGGAGCACACGTGAGGCTTGGGTTCGAAAGCTCTCCATCGATGACTGGGTGGAGAATCGAAATTCAGATTTGAAAGGATGCTATGAGTGGTGTGGCTACACGTTCTTCTATGTGAAGTTTGGGCCTGAGAATGACATCCAGGAGGGTGGGGGTCCCCAGTCTTCGCATGCCCAGCTGCCACTTCGTCCAGGTGGCAAAGATTCTCGTGCCCATGAAGGGTACGGAAATGCTGATGGCTTCTCTTCGCATGCTGTGGAGAGGGGTCGAAAGGCTGTGGAAGCTTTGACCGGCACCTCATTTCGGAGAGTGCCTAGGGCCTATGATGGCACCGCAATCGATGCACGAGACAATGTGGGCTTGGAGGGTGTCCCGGCGAGTGGCTATGGGGCGAGGCGCCTTGGATGCTTGCAAAGGGGAGAAATTGGGGCACCTGCCTCTTCGATGACTGGAGATCCAAATGAGGTTTCGCTGCAAAGTGAGCGGTTAAGTCCGCCAGAGGCTGATGATTTGCCCTTGGATGGGCATTGAGACGACAATTGTGTGCCCGCCGGGTCTGAGCCACGACAGCGAGGACTCAAGATCGGCTGGAAGCTTTGAACTTTTGAGTGAAGCAGTAGACGAAAAAACCTACTGTGGATCTCCGTGACAGGTATGCTGAGGACTCAGCATAGGGGGAGTGTGAATGGAAAAGCACAACCCAAAGCATACCTTTTTTCATGAAGGTCTTGAACACCTGAAGAAGGTGAACCCATGGTCAAAACGACCTGCGTTTGGCTCAAGGAACAACGTGAGCGGCTGTTTGTTTTTTCGGTCGCTCTTGATGCTTTTTCCATAACCACAGATTTAATTAGCTTCAAAAGTGAGCCTGGTGCAAAGTCTTCACAGGTTCAAAGCCGCCCCAATCCTGCATTGAGCATTGGTTCCTGTGAGCAATCTCTCAAACAACAATTGAAAAGGGCCTGCCAAGATGCAAATTTATTGGAAATGCCGCTTTCCGTACCTGCGACACCACAACGACCCATCATGACCACAGGATCACAGTGCCACACCTCCATGCGACAATTCCAGTTCCCTCAGGTTTTGCCTCACTAGCATGACATGGCAGAAGAGAAGAAAATCCTCGGCGTGAGGTGACCACCATGACCACAAAAAGCCACAGGCCGCCGCCCCCAGAAAGAGACATGCAGCCACCTGAGACAAACATGTCTGCTCCAACTGAATTGTTTCCTTGGCATTGGGATCACATTTCATGTTGCGTCGACTGCATTTGTGTTTTTGCCGATCCATCTCATAATCCTTTGGAAAGTGCATCAGCGCGAGGCAGTCTGACATTTTACTACTCGGGGGCGACTCTAGCTTGGAAAAGGGCTATCGCCGAAGCCCTTTGAGGAGCATCACTGTCATGTTGTTTGCTGTTTCTGTTGTCACTGCGACTTGGTCACTGTCACTTGTCCACGGTGTTGCTCCTTCCTGCAACAGGGTATTCAACACCTCATCCTCCAACCTCCCCTCATTCGAGAGGCGTTCAAAATTGTGTTGTCTCTTCTTTCCGAGAACTCCACTCTTACAGTAGCCGCTAGCCCTTACACAAGGCTTGCATTATTTTATGTGTTCACATGTGGTAGATTGTTCAATATCTATGTGGGGCCCAGTTGTCATGACAGTAAACAAGTTCCACTTCCGCTAACCTTGCGGCACCGTTCAAAGCTGCCAGCTAAATAATTGTCTTCACTGACTGTTCGCCAGCCCCTTACTAAAACAGCCAGCAAGACAATACAGACCCAACGACGATGCGGCACAAACCATTGGCGAAGTACAAAGTCGAGGGAGAGAAAGGGAGACAGAAGCATAGATAGAGAGAGAGAGAGAGACAGACAGAGAGAGAAAAACCACACACACACAGACACAGACAAACAGCCAACCAGCCAGCCAACCAGCCAGCCAGCCAGACAGACAGCCAGACAGTCAGAGACAAGACAGGACAAGACAGGACAAGACAGGACAAGACAGGACAAGA